AATGACCGTTGTTGTGTACCTTTTTTAGGACCGCATGCTCCATATTAGTAGGTAGCACTACCACATTCCTGTGGCCCGCTAACTTCATGAGGATCCCATTCTGAATCGAATTGTCTTCGTATGGTTCCTTGAGTAAACGCTGCATAATAAACTTTAGTATCTCTTCTCTTTCCTGTTCTTTTTTATCACTTCTAGAATTGAATCTTTAGTCACAATGACCTGATTTAGGTTTAACGCGTCAACATGTTTCATGCTATCCCCACTGCAGTGTTCGATTTCGTAATCAAATTCTTCCAACATAAGAGCCCATCTTGTGACTTTCGATGGTAAGTTAGATTTTACTAACGTTCTTTGAAAAGTTTGGCAGTCAGTAATAATTTAAAATTTATACCTAACAGATATACTAAATTTCCGAACTGTTTCGATAGTTGCCAAGACTTCCAGCTCATAAGAACATCATTTCTTCTCCGCCTCACTCGCTTTTCAATTCATATAACGAACTGGATGGAAATGTTTCTAACTGGGTCGTTTTTGGAGCAGCACTGCATCGTATCCCAACTTATTGTGTCCAGTTCTGTGATAGATTGTGGATCGTAAATCCTCAAAACGGGTTCGTTACTCATAGCTTCTTTTAAGTTTCGCGGATGACAGCTTTTGAGAGTCCCCAAAGAAATTTTGACCATCCCTGACTTCATACAATGCATACGCGATTTTGGCGTTGTCCCTTAAAAACCTTCTAAAATAATCTGTGAATCCAAGGAAGCTCTTAACTTCTTTAAGTGTATATAGGCTCTGTAAAAAAATTGTACAGCTTTTATCTTAGTTGGTGCAAGGATTACTGTGTCATTTTCGACAACATAACGTAAATAATCAACTTTATAGTTAGGAGAAATTTACATTTTTAGAATTCAATTCTAATCCATTTTCTGCTGCTACTGTCAGGTCCTGAATCAAGTTGTTGAAGGCGTTCTCGTAATCCACTCCTGGTATGATTATGTCGTCCATGAAAACAATCGCAATTGACTTTATAATTAAATTTTAGAAAACATCAATAAACCTCAAAAAACTGGTATAACTGTTTCATAAACCAAATGGTGTCTTCATTAATTCATACTGATGATCCGGCGTAACAAAAGAAGTGTATTTTCGACTATTGTCTGTCACAGGAACGTGAAAAAGTTCTTTAAGTCAATTATAGAAAACACGTGGAAGTGTACCAGAGCATCTATTCTGTCGTCGACTAATGGAATCGGGAAACGGTCCCTCACAATTTTTGTGTTCAACAATCTGAAATTCATACATACTTAATACGAACCATCTTTCTTTGTCACGATCACTACTGGACTGGCATACTCACTAGCACTAGGCTAGATAATGCCGTTTTCCAGACACTCCTTGATCTGATTGCCGAGTATCTTCTTCTCCTTTGGTGCTAATCGGCGAGGCTGTAGACACACTGTGTCATTTTCCTAGGGCTTGATCTTCGTTTCGGTGGTGGATTTCACGTTCTTCGCGAGTGAGTAATCTTCACGTAATCGGCAAAACTTCGTTTCATGGAGAGCAGGTACAACAATTTCCTTCGAAGTTATGCACCGGAGTACCTCCAGGTCGTCGAATTCAGTCTGCATGGAGTTAACCAACGTTCTACTATTGTCTTGTATTCTTTATTTCCCGCTGAAATTTGTTTCACGGAGATTTTGCCTTGATTGAGGGTGATATCTGTATCTTTAATCCACGCTTGTCCAATAATGAAATCATGGTTCTTGGACCCATTCGTAACTACATAGAACAGCGTGTTATACTTGTTACTGAATGAAATTAGTGATGATTAATTTGATCGTTACAACAGGTCTTGTTTTTTCCAATCCGCTAAAGCATCGCTTGGTTGGACCCAATTCTCGACGGCGTATGGTATCGTAGGTATCGGCTGACAGACTGATATCGCTCCCTGTGTCTAATTGTGCAAAATAATTCCCTTCCCTCACCTTAATCGATAACAGCTTGTCGTCCATGGTGCAGGTACACCCCACACTCTTCCTCTCTTTTGAACATTTCGGCGAGATGTGTCCATACTCGTTGCACTTAAAATATTTGGGGCCCCTATCCCGGTTTGTGCAGTTGATTCTTATATGTTCCCTGGATCAGCAGTTTAAACACCGTTTCTGAGCTAGTCGCTTGTCACTTGAATTCTTGTAGCCTCGTGTTTGTTCTTCTTTTGTTGAATTAGTTCGATTTTTCGACTCCTTATTACGCTACATGCCCTTTTCCGTCTGTGCAGTACATTTCTTCCTTTGATTTTTCATTCATCTTCTCGTAGGCCTCTAAACATTTCTCGAGCTCTTTGATATTTTTTACGCTGTACAAAATGGCTTTGTGGTTTTCATAAACTTGGATTTCATGATGATATGAGTGTTTCCTCATGAATTGTTCCTTGACTATTTCCATCAATGAATAGAAGTATTGCTTACATATTTCATGTGGTGAGCGTTTACATTCACCAACTGGCTGTGTATTGTAGCGCTGCTAAGCTTGATAGAAATTCGTTTGTCAGGCTCTTCTTGAAATTTGTCCACGTCGAAATCTTCTGAATTGGCATAAACGTCTTTGTTGAGCCTCTGAGCATACGCTTTGAGTACATTATCTTTTGTAAGTCTTGTCATTCTAATAACGTTTGTTTTTTTAATTTAAAAAAACTGAAAAACATTGTTAGCTAAATCAATACAATTGACTTCAATATGTTTAATAAGATACTATATATATACTATACTATATACTATATATATTATAACTACTATATACGTATATATATGATATATTTAAGCTTCATTAAAATTGTTTCGTGTGTGTGTCTCTGTGTGTGTGATTTACTATAGGTAGAGGTGTTATTCTGTACACGTTTTCTTAAATGTTGGTATCCCTATCCTAACTCAATATATTTAAGTTGAATTCTGAATGCTTTTGGGAACGAGCGTTTTTGGTAAGAAAGTATAAAATATCCGCTCTCGTGTAATAAAAAATATTTGCAAGAGCAAGTCAACAAAGATTTTGGCTCTTATCGTGCAAGAATCGCCATGTTGAACGATAATTTGTTTCACTATATTTCCCACTGACCTCTAGAAAACGTGCACAGATAGTGAAATTACATTTCTGTACAGAAGCAAAACAATGGGGGTCATCTCTTTGTCAGCATTCGCTCAAAGGATCAAGGGAAGAGGACCCACAAAACGTGGATTCTGACTATACAACGTGTTAGATAACAATATCGGTACCAGTGTTGCAGCCAAAAGACAAAAGGCGTTTGCTTCGTGGAGTACAAAGTTTGACCTTTTGGCTCACGCATTTTGGCTTTTTGCTGCAACATATTTTGAAGCACAGACTTCATTCAACCCGTTCCAAGGCTTCTTCGCCTTGCTGAAGAGAACCGAATAGTTCGAAAACGTCTAGCAAAACTGGGTCTTTCATTTGTCCCATTTTGCAGTGACCGCCGATTTGGGATCAACGTTTATCCCAACACCTTGGCAACCCTACCAAAATTCAAAATTTCTGTGTGGTATTTGGGACCCATTGGTCAAGGTGTTTTAAACAAGATACCCTTTGGCAAACACTAGCAAACATTTTGGCTTACGCCTACGTCATCTTTTGCTATACTGTTTCGACTTCAATTCGTCTCATCAGCTTGGGAAGTGATGAGATCAGCGATACGGCTGACCGCATACCCAAGGGCAGTAGTGGGGAGATTCTGGAAACTTTAGAACCAATATCGGTACCACTTTTTCGTTAATAGGGCTCCAAAATACGGGCTTATCTGTGGAATGATCGTCGATTTTTGCCGCGCGTTGCAATACTTTTTTATCTTTGCTATATATGTAGTAAGGCGAGAAGGTAAAAACATTTTTTTTTCGTTATCAGGTACCTTCAAAATGCGTATTTCGTGGAAGGTTAAAATATTTATATTGACTTTTTGGAGCATTGCATACTTTTATTTCTGCGACGTATGCCAGAAGTAATATTCTGATAGTTATTAATTGAATGTATTATTAATTATGTAAATTAGGTAATGAATTTGATTATATATTCACGAAAATAATTCTTTTAAAAAATTTTGAAAATAAAAACACTCGGTAGCGCCAAACAGTTTGACTGAAAAGGAGTAATATACATATTTGGTAGAAATATAATGTATGCATTTAACTTTCTCTAGTGCCTGAACTGTTCGTCTGACGAAAAATATTTGAGATACACAATTCGTAGGAAATGTAATTTATTTTTTAACTCATCTTTCTAAAAAAGTTTGCAGTTTTCAAGTTGTACGTAAGTGAAAAACTCGCAAAGAGCTATTTTTTATGTATTTTTTTCTTCAAAATGTACTGTACGAGGGGTAAAAATTAAAGTTCGTATTCAAAATTCTCAAATATATAGAATCTTAGAGGATTTTTTTTATAATTTCATTTTTTCAACAATCCGACTCACAAAACCAGCTTTGGGTGGACTTAATGTAAATTGGTAGAGTAGTTGTTCGAATTGAGTCATCTCTGATCGTGTGTAACATTAATGGCCAACCCGAGAGTATTTCTTTGAAGAGATACCTAGTTGAGTAAGCTGAATAGTAATTTGAGACAATCTTAGCAAAAAAGCTGCGTTGAAACTACGATAATGTGCCGAGCACTTAAACAACACATTTGCCTCTCAGTTAGATGATCCAGCTATGAAACTTGTTTGTAAATAGTCAAAATAATTTACAAATTTTGAAAGTGTGATTATCATTCGATGATTAGGCATCTTTAGATTTCAATGATAAAATACGTGTTTAGGAAATATAAATGCAATTCCTGTAATATCGTAGTATTGGAAAGTTCATAATTGAAGTGGTTACGTTATAACAGTGAAACTTACATTTGTCCTATTGCCTGTAACTTTGATGAGTAATTACAACTTGATATAATTGAAATACAAATTGCTTAATCAGACGAATATTTGAATACATTACAACCTTAAATTACTGCATTATTGACCGAAGGGAAAAGGAGAAAACTACTGTAGTACTTCATAGTTGTTGGAGTTTGTGTGAAATCAATAGTCTGAGTAGCCAGAGATAGCGCTACATTCTTACACTACAAGGACAACAAATGATAATGAAATTCAATGATTTTTCGGAAATTTGAAATAATATGCTGTAATAATGTAATATGAGCATGTAGGAACACTTTCTATTTCCGTTTCGCCTTAAATTTCCCCCGTCTTTGGTGCAGCGCTTTCTGTAGTCTGTGCTACTAAATAAAAGTATGCGGTCTATCTTGATGTGCCTTCTCGCAATTTTTAAATAGGATATGATGTAATAATTGTCAAATTGATTCCGGATTTCGAAAGAAACATTTCTTTTCTTTACATCACCTCAATGGCACCCATCATTTGACTTATATCATGCATCATCACGTGTGGTACGTTGGTGTGTCGTATCTACGGTTTGGTGTATCAACTGTTGTGTTACCTGGGCCGTTGAATGGACTGGAGGTTATAGTTCGTTTGTAATGGCATGTTGCTGAGATAAGTTGTGTCGAGTTATCTGTCAAGCACTACTGTGTGTATGAACAGAGTTGTAATGCAGAAAAGCTATATGAATATGCTTCGATAATATCCATACATTTTAATTACCACTGTGGTGTAGTATTTTTGACTTGTCTTACCGTAGACTGCCATGAGTGTCTCTCAAGTTCAAGGTGGACTGAGTAAGCTCAAAAAGAAACATTTTCGTGTAAAGCACCAAAAAGTGAAGTTATTTCGTGCAAATGAACCTTTACTATCGGTTTTTATGTGGGGTGTTAATCACACAGTAAGTATGCGTGATGCTTGTTGTCTTTAATTGGTAAGAACAGTTATTATACATAAGTCTTGGCTATGCGGTTAAAAAGTTTCGGAATTGACACCGAAACTCCTAATATTAATGGTAGACACTCCTTTTTCCTGAACTCGTTCCCACTGAAATACATCAGGGATATTTGCGGAAAAAATTCAAGTATGGGTGTATATGTACATTAATATTATACATATATTTATGTGTATACATAATAGGAGGTATGTATAATAACAATGTAATATTGCATTATATCTATTGATTTGCATTCTACGAATTTTATTTCGATGATTTCTCATTGACAATCTCTTTGATAAGGTAAACAACCCCTTGGGGTGTGTCCCATGACAAAACTGTCAAAAGTTTCAAGAATGTTTAAGAAGGGTTTTTATATGATGGAAACACTATAGAAAAAGTACAGAAATTATTGTGATTGAGTTAATTTGTTTCTTCTTGGGGTTTGTCTGTTTTACTTTATCTGAACATGTTATTCTCCTGTTTCTCTTGAAGAACCGATTCTTGAAGAAAGAAATGAACTATTTTAGTGCCCTGTTGTAACAAAAAATAGTAAATAAAAAAAGGAAATGTTTATTATTGCAGGAAGTCCTGAAATTGCTGTTGTTAGTATGAACAATTTTCTTGTGAGAAGTCTGACATTAAGAAGTGATCAATGTTTTAGAGTTTATGATTCCTGTGTTTCTCGACAAACGAGTGTAAAATATTTGTAAGTCAGTTAAAAGGTATTATTTTTGTCAATTTTCATTTAACGAAACAATTACACACTTTTCCGTGAAAATGTGGTTAAAATTGATGCAACTTTGGAAATAAGTTGGTTGTAGGTATGGATTCAAAATATGATTTCCTAATGAATGCATATAAAGGTGTGCTTTATGAATGAAAAATTTATATAATTAATTTGTTTTTGATGTGAAATTGGGGTTATGAGTTTTGTATTTATTTTGATTTTTTTTCTTCTTTTCTAATAAGGATTGTCTGTTCATGTGTGGTTTCTGTCATTGAAACATAATGTACTGGAACTGTCTCAAAGAAAGTGACATATTTAGATAAAAATAATTTTTTGTTTTTGAACAATCAAATAGTTTCATTTTTTAATTCAATTACTTCCACATTAAATTTTGTTTCTGATTCTCAAGGGTTGTCATTATAACAATTCTACATATAGTAGTTATGGTATTAAAATCTTACTGAAACAAATTCCTCACATTTAAGTGTTATTATAAACTAAATACTTTCTACTCAATTTAATATAATGTTTTGTAATGAAATGCATTAAAATTAAGGCAGTTATAATAAAAAGAAAGTAGTTCTTTTAATACATTATTTTATTAATTAAGAGGTCCAGCTAACTCCTTTTTGAGTTTAAATATCTTCCTCTGTATTAAATAATTTAATTATTCAAAACATTTTCTGTTGAGAGAAGAGATACTAACACTGCGCTATCACCTCAACCTGACAGGTATATTATTACTGGTTCCTAATACTGACATGTAAGGAATCTAAAGATGTCATGAACGAAAAACAAATTAATTTTAGTAAATGTCATGAACGAAAAACAAATTAATTTTAGTTAATGATTATTTTTAATTTCCTAAATTTGCAAAAAGGGCACATTGAAATGTTTCCTAAAGCTCACATACTGGGAACCTAAGTTTAGACGCACCATGTTCAAACTAGGTTCTGGACCAATTAAACTGAAGACCCTGAATTGATTTCAATTGAGAAAGTTCTCTGTTTCTCTTTGAGTTTGTTCTCTAATGTATGTAAATTTGGTAATTAAGGATCTTTGTGTTAACCAGAAAAAACATTAAAAATATCTTTATAAAAGAAATGCATATTTTTTTATTTCTTAATCTTTAAAATTTATATTAAAAAACTTTTAAAACTAAACAAAATTTCTGTAAATATAATTGATTTCAACAAACAAACCAAAAACTAGAACAGGTGAACTATTTCAGCTATATTGTAATGTTTTCTATATTTGTGAGGAAGTTATAAAAGAAAGTGGGAATTTTGCTTCTGAGATTTGTTACAAATATCTCGGTAATTTGTCCTGAAATACTTTTTCTAGGTATGTCTGTGTTACTTGTGAAGTAAAAAAATGTAATGTTTTGTACAGACTTAAGATATTTTTTATGACTTATATGAATTTAAATATGGATTTTAAAATTTAAGTAAAAATAGATTCACTGTTTATGATATAAATTTTTTCTTTGTAGCACAATGACATTTTCAAACAGAAAAGTCAATTCTTTTCGTTTCAATGAATTCTTATAATTACTAATGACACAAGTTGATATTATCATATGAAAAAGCATTTTTTCTATATATACATATAAATATAATACTAAATATAAATATAATAAATATATATATATATTATACTATAATATATAGTATGTTTTTAATTAATTATTTTAACGAAATTGTGTAACTTGCATTAAATTTATATATATATATTGCATTTGCAATGATTGCAAAGCCATTTTTCCCTCTTTTTTAAAAATCTAATTTCTATGATTTTTTTCATGAACATCAGGGTAAATTAGTAAGGTTGTTTACTTTAACCAGTGCCTTTCTTTTGTCTTCGACATTTTTGTTATAATGAAGCCATTATTGAATAATAATAAAATAATTTATTTTTGTTTATCAGCGTTCTAAACGCCCGTTTCCGTTGTTGGAAATCGTTCGTTAAAGGGCAATTTATGGCACTGCTCGTCCTCTTTGCCGTGACACTACTCCCCACCCCATTTTGTTGGTTATCCCGCCCTTAACACCTGTCTTCCCCTCCCCGTGCTCTCAGCGTGACGTCTTAATACCAACATCTTATGCTTCCAACTGCAAGATGTTTTAAAAAGTTTGTTTCCAAACTTCATTTTGGCTCTTTTGTATGTATAATGTTGTTGTAAATGTATAACGCTGTTATAAAAAAATACCTTATGCAACTCGTTTACAAAGTTGCATTATTGTATTCGTACAAATTTGGACACTCTCCCTTCTTCCAAAATTTCTACGTATGCAATAGAGCATAACATAAACTAATCGCTTAATATACTATTAGGGCACCAGTCCTCTAATTAAGCATCTTGTAGCATCAACATGAGTGTGCTAATCAAACATTATTGCATCGCCGTATTTATTATTAATTTCTAGATATTTTGTTGTATACTTATTCTTAACTCCTCATTCAAGAACACAATAATCAGTCTTGGAAACATGGTATTTATCATGAGTCATTTCCATTGATCTGTCAAACCGCGAATGTATGTACCTGTCTCCCTATAGTATGGCACAAATTCTTGTGTAGATTTAGGATGAGAATGATTTTTTTTTTTTAGTTTTGAAGAGCTTGTCAACATCTTTTAATATTAATCATATTCTTTATACTTGCTTGTGCATATAGTGTAGAGAAAGTTATATAATGGTGCAAAAAAAATCGACGTGGGTACACGTTTTTGAAGTACACGTTTTGGGGGACCCAGACGCAGAAACAAATTTTTTGTAACAGGTTACCTTTAATGTTTTTTTACGCATTGTGTGGGTAAAATGCCTCATTACTATATCCAATGTAGTAAAGGTTGCCTGGCAACAGTTTTGTAAATAATACGGTGGATAAGAGTGTTGCTTCAGTATTTGTAAATGAAACAAATTTTCATACTCCATTACTTTCTTTTTTGCTTGCTCTTTGTTCTCCTATTCTCCACAGCCTTAGTGTTTTTAACTCCAATACTTTTGGGAATTTGTTTAATCGTCTGCATTGCGCTTCCTGCTGTGGATGACCGCTCAGCGCTAATGTAGCCTACCACGCGATTGCTGTAGCAGAAACCAATATTCACATCACATACCGCCGTAGTCAGTACCTTTAATTATATAGACATTCTACTATACAATATGTCAAAAAAACTTACAAATGATATCGGATAAGACAAGACCTATATTACACTAGTGTGATGGATCATTACGCTCGTGAACACACAATAGCGTATTTTACCCACTCGTAAAATTTCAATGACCTATGTGTCCGTCCGTGGTCATTATTAGCCTCTAAACCATACGAATGATTTCCCCCAAAATATGTGTTCTCAGATCGATCTGCCCGAACTTTGCGAATTTGAAACTGATCTTTAATTTTGTTTGATCTTTAATTTAGTTGTAAGCTCGTCAGTCAAAAAGGGACCAATTTTTTCTTTTCATTTGTTTTGCTCGAGTAGGGCAAAGTGCTTTTATAAATAAGGTGTAAAGACGAGTTTTATTTTAAAAAACTGATTTTTCAAAAATTGCTGAAGTCCAACCCTTTTTTCCCTAACATGTTCTACCGAGAGAGCTGTCTTTGAGAATACTACACCACCACGTACTTTCTCGCGTCAATACAGTTATGTAAAATTATTATATCGTAATTTCTGTCCTTATTAACACATCTCAGCCAACACCGTAAAACCCATTATCAATGGTAGCTCATTAAGGAAACAATTAATTCATTTAAAGCTAGTGCATCTGCACCAATTCGACAATCCATAACTTTGTACCATTGACCCAGAAACGCCGCACAACAGTGAGAAATTATTCTAAAAATTTCAGATTGCCATGTTGCGGCGTTCTTACTGTACTGCGACCTCAAGACTGCTGAAATATCTGCTAAAAGTAGAACGGGAAATTCCAATTTACAGTTTTCAATTTATTCAACTTCTTGTTTAAAAAATGTGCATGTATTTTTTAAGAATGATTTTTTAGAACATTTCATTTAACAAAAATCTCTATTAGAATTGTACTTTTGCGATGTCAAGTTTTTGCAATTTTCAAAAATACGGACAGTTCGCCGAAAATGAGACCTGCACCATATTTTTACCGATCTTTGACACATACTAAGAGAGATTTTAAAGAAAAAACTTGGAGCCGTTCTGAGAAAATTATAGTTTTAAAATTGCCTATATTTCATGCCAAAACTACTAATATTTTCGAAAAATTATATATGACTTTATTTCAAGATCTGTCCTTAAAGCACAGATTTCATTAAGGGAAGAAAAATCAATTTTGGAGAAAATCGGCTTAACAGTTTAGGCGCTTGCGTTGATCACAGACCTTTTGTCGTCAATCGATTTTTCAGTGTCAAGGACCCTCAAAACATTGATGACTACTCAACTTGATAGAGGAAGAAATTTACTTCGTTTCCAATGACCGGCAATAAGTTTTTCTGTCGAAAAATAGCCGTTGTTCCCCGCATCATTATAATACTTTCTCTATACTGCGTAAGTAGTGTACAAGAATGTAAAAAAATGCCAGTAATATTGTTGAATCGAAAGTCTTAACTGTATGTTCAAAAATATTTTTTACTTTTAAGTGTGTTTTATATTTCAAATGCTGAGGTTGATATCTTGTGCTTAATAAGTTCAGCCCAGCAAGGATTCTTAAATAGTTTAGCATCGTAGAAGTCCGCATTGTTCCACAAATTGTATTCTTCTTCAGCCAGATGGATTAGAGTAACAGCTGAGAAGGCCACGAAATGTTAACTCAGTGATTACAGTAAATGGTTAGGGAGTGTTTATAGAGTGATTTAGTTTGTTCCGATATCCCTGAAAAAATGTTGTACTAATAGATACAAAGCATGTGAGAATATTGAAATGATAAAGAACTTAAAAATTAGGCTCATGCTCGGCGAAGCTAAACGGGCAAGACACATTCCCTGAATATCCAAGAGCCTTCATCCAATCCCGTTCACTTTTATTATGCATTCGATTATACTCACAACTTCCTTCAGTTGGTGAAATTACAAGACGTTAGGAAGTACCAGAGCTCGCAGCATAAGTTTATATGAATCGTGTGCTTGTTACAAGTCATGCGTCAATTTAGTTTGGCGTGTCAGTCGATTTAACCACATGACTGGAGCGTGTTCAGGCGGCTCCGAATAAATGTTACAATCATCGAGGACATGTGTATGCGGTCTATAACAAGAGTGGAGGCGGGGACTTTCCTGGGCCCCTCGAACGCACTTTTCCATTAACATATACATACCAGATATGTTTGAGTAAATAAATAGAACATACTGCAAGGAGATCGAAATCATAAATTTAATGATACATTTAACAAATACAATAAAATATTTAATATTGAACCATTTCCAAGGTAACTAGATGGTTTGGAAAGCCTCTTCTCCAAATTGTCAACTTAAAAAAATAGGAAACATCATTTTAACGGAAATAAAATGTATTACCTAGGGCCACAGCCCCCCCTTTCAAAATTTCCAAGTTGGCCACGGCCGCCCTGGCCCCCGTTGTTTGCAGTGTAGGGCATTTAGCAGGATCAAAGATAATCGCTTTTTGCATGCGAATGTGTAAGAAATTTCGTATAACAAAGTTACGCCCGTGACGTTTCTGGCAATTGCTCCCCTGATTGGAAGGCAACTTACACTACTCTTCTTTTGGCATACACGAATCCTCGGAGGACGACCTGCCCACTGGCGAAGATGATATTGAGATGTTTGGAGTGACTGCAACTGATGTCCGTTGGTAAAAGTGCTGGGAGTATTATCGGAGGCTCAAGCGTGACTTAACAGGATTTGAAATGCCTCGTCACAAGGAAGGACGTACGTAACTCCCGTGTTTTCCCACGAGATTTGCCACATGTTCATTAGCACAAATAATCAGGATATTTTACCCCTACGTGTCTTAGAAGTTTGTAGCATTTATTCTGACCCACCGTGTATACTTGCTACCTCAAGAAATAGCTGCTCGGTTTCGACAGTGTTAGGTTGTTGACCGACACTCTGACTCTGACGAATCTTATCTTTTGATGTTGGAATATTTTTTTTAGTTTCCTTTTTTAAATTTTCCAAAGCATGTACACATTTCTTTCCTTTCAAATTTTTCTTCGAACTTTCCTCCTTGCTTTCATTTTACTATTTAAAATTAAATTTCAGTGATCACAGTAGTATTCTCAAAATTCAGTAAGCATTGGTAAAAATGTTCAAAGTTTGAATTGTTGACACCAGCTTGTTGACGTTTCAGAAATTCATTTTTCCAACATCAGAACTTGCTTGGAATACAGAGCGTGTTGTTGGAGGCGGGCAGCTGTGGAGTTCGAGCAGTTGTCTCCCGGACGATTGCTCAATGGCCTGGGCTCGGCTTGGCGGATTTATTTATTTATTTAATGTCAGAAAGTTAAAAACTATGAGTAAAGTGTAATCAGTACTTGGTTTCTTGAGCTCTGTTGTAACTCGTATACATATTAAGTTGAATTATGTAAAAAGGGAGCAACGAGCGTTTTTGACGAGTTTTGGTATGAAATGATTCGCTCTGGTGTAATATAAATCATTTGCTAAGGCAAAGTAGATACAGAGTTTGGCTATTATCCCGTGTGCTCTTTGGGGCGGAATCGAATTCCTGACGCGTTCCCCCGAACGTCCCTATGAGAGAGCTCCTGGTCGCAGAAAAGTTCCATTTTCCTTTCGATGATGCTTACTAACACTGTCTCTCCCCCTCATCAGTGGACAAGGAACTAAAAGGGATGTGTTTGAATTGGAAATGCTGATTGCTGCTTTCTTAGGCTCTTTATCAAGGTAACTGTAATAAATGAAAATCATATATTTTGTCGGAATGAGAAGTATGTAGGAATAGAAAACGGAAAACATTTTCAACATCTCTGCGCCATGGTGCGTAGAAATGTTGATTGCTGACCAGATGCCATGGACTGCCAGTTCCTGTAGATTCGACTGGTCGAGATGTCTCGGTGACCACAATCGTTGCTGCTGCAGCTTCTCTGATAGGGAGGTCCTAGGTGTCGAGTCCCGACGATGGCGGATATTTTAACACCAGCCATATAGGTAGGTCGAATTCAGCCGCCGCTGGCGACAGAAGAATTCTAGTGGCCCTGCTGTGGTCGGTAGTTTTTCTCGATTTCTGTGATCGATACCAGGCGAATGCCCTAAGAAGCGCACCACGGCCGCGCGCGATTTTCCCTCCCTCTTCCTTGTTTCCTCTACTCATATGCTTATTTTAATCCACTACACTTACCACATATCGGGAGACCAGTCGCGAGCGTAGAGCTTATCTCGGCTGTGACCCTGGGAAGGGGGGGGGGCAGCAAACCGACCTGTCGTTCGGCACCGAATCTCAACCTCCATCGGGGAAGAACACCGCCGCTTCCTACTGTAACACCCACTATTCTTACGGGACTAGTGCCCAATAGGTGACGTGCCTGGAAACCCGAAATACTCACGCACCCTTGAATCGAGAGCCTGAAGCATTGCCTCCAGACAGTTCTTTAGAAGAAATCATATATACTAATTAGAAGCCAGTCCTTTCATCTTGAATGTTAGTTGAGTGATAGGATATTGTTGAGTGCTTTGGTGAATCAGTAAGTCCTTTTAGAAATATGTGTGCATGTCAGTTCTTATGGAACAAATGTATTAAGATTGAATTAATAAACATTTGTATTGAGGTGGAAAATTGTATTAACTTGTCTTGTAGATTTAATACAGATTCAATTTCGAAACAATGTACCATTGGATCTGAATTTAGGTAATGAAATATTATGTTAATTTGGGACAAATAGAGATTTCTTTTACTTCTTTTTTTGATTCTTTTAACTTTTCAGATAAATGAACTTAGTCATGTTACCATTCCTGTAATGCTTCTGCCAGATGATTTCCGAGCCTACTCTAAACTAAAAGTTGATAATCATCTCTTCAACAAGTAAGCATACATTATGCATATCTTTCTATAAAATCTGGTTTCAGGAATGTATTTTTTGTATCTTTTTAATGTTTTATTTCAGAGAGAATATGCCTAGTCATTTTAAAGTGAAAGAATATTGTCCCCTTGTATTCCGGAATTTACGAGAGAGATTTGGTATAGATGACTTGGATTTCAAAGAATCAATGACAAGGTATGAACCCTGAAGAAGTTTTTTCTTTTAAACTTGCAATTTTTCCTGAAATGCACTCGTGTGCACTTTCATGCACACAGGTTCTTGAAGAGACCCAAATTCAAATTCACATATTTGTTTATGTATTACAATCACTACAGTTCTTGTGTGTAAAGATGTACAAAAGTAATGACACTAAACATTTTATTCTTTTATTTGCTTATTTTTGTAGGTCACAACCTGTTCTAGTGGATACACCTGGCAAAAGTGGTGCAAAATTTTACCAATCTTATGACAGATTGTTTATTATTAAAACTCTGACAAGTGAGGAAGTGGAAAGGATGCATTCTTTCCTAAAACATTACCATCCCGTAAGTTCAATTGCTCAAATGTTCTCTATATTTAATTATTGTATATATGTATGAATAATGTGTATGCTCACATGTGAATTTCCTATTGAACTATGAATGACCAATTCCTAGATTAATAATAATATATATTTTTACTATGAAATTGGAATATTGCTACCGTAATATTGCAAGAGGAAGGGTGAATTGTAAATAAATACTGAAAAACGCACAGTATTGTTGGACTGGGGAAATTTTATATAATACTTTGTTTTTAAATACAAATATATTGCTATTTCATTTTACATGCTTACTTTAATTCCTCTTATTCTTTGTTGAAGAATTTGTGTAATTGTTGGTTAACATTTATTTTGTAGTTATTATCAGTGCTATTTCATTCAAAATATCATGTCAAAGGGAGACCAGGGTAAGTTGTCACAGATTCTTTCCGAAACTATCTGTGTAGAGAACACCTAATTGATACTGTGAATGAAGCTTTAGACTATTATCTCGCACTTCGAGTCTGATAAAGTTAGGTCACTTCTTACAAAAAATTCTTTGTACTCTCAAAATTTATAACTTATAATGTTTGTGGGTGTGAAAAGTAAACAATGCTTTGCCAAAAATTGTATTCTCAGATTTTTTGTCCAAAAGATGAATATAAGATGTTGAAGGATTCAACTCCTGGCCACACTGCTTGTGACTCTTTTCCTTAAATTCTTGATTTTTTTAAAATCTGCCAGAGAAAAATGGAATGTTTGGGGTAAAGTCATCATTAAGCAATCAGGGAAAATGTAAACTATTTAATTTATGCAGCTTTAAAATGGTGTTATTTCTGACCTGCCAGTAAAAGCACAGCAGTGCCCCAGGTGGTGGGCTGCACCTAGTAGTTAGCTTATTAGCCGAAGTAGTGACCACCAGACACTGCTGTACAATCAGTGTTTTCTACTGTTCTCTTTTTCTACTTTTGCACTATTGTTTTAATTGTTGTAGGATTTGAATCTTATGATGGACAAGGAATAATGAATCAAAATAATTCCTTTGTTGCAAAAACTAACAAAAAGTGATGGGAGCATAACATTTTTTATCAGAACCCAACAAACATTTAGCAAGTTTATACTTTTCTTCTCTTGATTTCACGTATTTTGATTAAATTAGTTCTTTATTTACACTTCTTGCAAAAACAGGTTATATCTCTGTGCTCATTGCAAACAGACTGGTGGCATTTGTTGCAACATTGTTTTTGAGTGCGTAGGGACACAAGTGTCATCTTTCTTCTTTCGTGATGAACAAGGTGTAGAACTATTCATGTGGGAAAATGCAATAGAATTCAGTTTTTACCCAACATCTTTTAGAGCTGAAAGTGTCTTTCATTGGAGTCCCATAGTACTTCTCCTTGATTGAATGAGGTCCTCTGATTCCTTGCGCAATAATACATTTCGAGCATTGTGTTTCCGCGAATTCCAAGTTCACTGCACATTTGATCAGATGAGAAATTCCACTCAAGCAACATCCAGAGAGTTCATGAAGGTCTCAAACAGCCATGGTTTTTTTCTTTGACACAAGTATGACTGTAAGAGCTGTTGCAATGTGTCAACACTACCTTTCGTGGAATTGTAATGAAGTATTACTTCAGGTTTATTACCTTGATCATCTGTGTAATTATCTGTCTGGTTCATTGTGGAAAGAAGAACAGTTGCTTTGTTTTGCTTCTAAACGTGCAATTGCAAAATAGATTCCCTTTAGACACCAAAAATAGATGAATTCACAGGACGATTTTTGTGGGGCTGGAATTCTTGAATCAATCTCTTGTTCTTTTGAACAGTTCCGACAAGTGTGAGACCATTTTTCAAAAGACATTCTGTGAGGGTCTTGTCCATAAAGTAATTGTCACATGTGACATTCCTATGAGTTCTTTGATAAGGTTTGTTGAGAGTTTGAACCACTCTGCCTTTCAAACCTGGAAGTGCCTTTTCACTGTTTTCCTTCCTGGTTTGTGGCAATCCATTTAGAGGATAGGTAGTTCTAGCATCACAGGTCTGTTACACCATCATACTAAATTTGTCTTGTTTTGATAGTATGTACCATTTGAATGGGCATCTGCCCTGGAATAGAATTAGCATTTCATTGACAGTAATGTCTGTTCCAGGCTAGCAATGCTTTTTCAAATGTCCATTGAATTTCTCCCACTTCTGTCAAACTGGGAAGTCACAATTTATTATTCTGACTTCTTGCAGACCGTGTGGTTTTGTCATCAATTCGTTGAAAAGAAAGTTTGCTCTAAATCGGACCTGTCTCCTTTCTGCAGACTTTGTGTTTGTGACAAAATGAAAATCACCTACCTACCTCTCTCTTACCGAAAGAACATATTAGGGGTACAGTTTTTGTAAACCAAAGAATAATGTTGTTACGATTGTTATGTCAGAATGAAAATCGTCAATGGTTGGCTCTTCAGTAAAGAACATATTAGTGTGCTTTGGACACTACTTGCGTTCTTACGTTACGTAAACGAAATAAATATTTTAACTACTATTTATTGACCAAATTTAGTGAAACGTCCTAGTTAGAAGCTCTAATAGATAAGAAACTGTCATGAAAGTGTACCCACAGAAACCTTTTAAGTTTACTTTTTATGATAGTTAATGTAACCCACAGTATTCAACAGTGTATTAAAAGCAATTGGATTAGAGATTTGAAAGCATATAGAAAAAATCAAATGTATTGTATTCTTGTGTTCTATATTAATGGATTTTTAAAAACAAAAAGCAATGAAGTAATACATAAAAAAATTGCCAGTCTTTAAAATATATGTATTATTATAATTAACTTGATTGGCCACACTGGACCAATTGAGTCGTTCCACTTCACTTTTTACTGTTCATGGTCGACTGTCGAAGGTTTTCACCTTGAGGTGAGGATAAATCCTCAAGTTACAATTCTGAATGTTATTCAGAAAGGTGATAATGAGAGATGGAGGATGATGGATGATAGGGGGTGAAAGGACGAACACAATACAACCATGCCCGAGGCGGGACTCGAACCCGCGATCTTTCGGTACGAGATCGCTACGGCACTACTGCCTTAGCGATCTCGGCCACCGGATCGGCCATATATGTATTATAATGTAAAAATCCAGCAAGAAATTGAATATCATTTAATTACTTTGTTATCCCAGTAGGGTGACTTTTACCTCGGATTTCTTGTGACCTCAATATTTGGACCCCTCTAAGTTTTCTTGGATTCTGCTTAAATAAGTGGTTATTTTTACATGAAGTTATTTATGTAACATATTCCAAGCTTCATTCTAGGGACAGATAGAACTTATTTCATTCAAATTATTGAATTTCTTTGCGACCAGTGGAATTTAAGAACCTTGAAGACCCTTGGTCTCCCTTATTCTTATATTTCCAGTGTATGCATGCCCAACACTGTAAAATCTTGCAAGTCTGAGTTTCAACAATTATTTATTTTGGTGTCATTTAAATTATCTACTCAATTTTAATAGAATAATTAAAACTTCGTAAATCTGTTTAATATAAGGTTAATGGTTGTAAAATATTATGAAAATTCCATAATACATGTATGCCAACTAAACCTGTGATATGTTTAATTGTGCCATTAATGAATTCAAACAACATTAAAAATGGTACATAAATTCCTTAAACTCTGACCGTATGTACCTTTAATATTAAGTACCATGTCTAAAATCAAAGTGATATTATGTGCAAAACATGTACATGTAAACTTTATTTTATGTACGTAATATTTACGTAATCCTGATACATGTTGCATCAAATAAAAATTTGCTCAAAACATCAATCATTGTTTGGGATATGTTTCAGATGTGTCAATTAACAATTCTTATAGAATATTATAAAAATGTTTTGAGTTTGGTTGTCTCTTTATGTCAATGGCTACTTTCTCTGTCTTTAATTTTGGACAGCCATAATTGTGTCAAGATTGTCATGTCATTATTTTATTCAAATGAAAAAAGAAAAAAAGAAACACTACAATAATGCCAACAACTCTTCAAAATTGAAATGAAAAAAAAAAAAAAAATAATAATAGTAATATTAAAAAAAAAAGGAGGAGGAAAAAAAGCAATAGAATGAACAATTTAGAAAATTCTGAAATTTTAAAACTGCTGAATAACTCAGATTTAATATATAATAATTAACAATTTCAGATAAAAGTGCAGCCGCATATTAACACTCTTAATTGACTATCTTCTCAAATCTACTACATCCTGTCTTCAATTCCTCTAGAAAGTCTCTCTGAGTATTACACTAAATGACTGAGGTGATGTCAGATTTCATTTCTCTTGTTTAATCTGTAATAGTAGGATACGTATCTAATTTCTCCATGTTTCAACTTTTTTCCATTTATATATTTAAATATTAATTTTGTGGTTTTAATACACACAATATTATATATGATTTGTTACTTTTCGTCTTCTTAGTGCCACTAATGATATGTAAAAATATTCTCGAAACATGATTAGATAAAGGATTAAAATTAAATTAACATTCAAATTATTGTGGTTGATATCTCTTTTATCTCTTTAAAATGTGACAGTGCCCATATGTTGTCCAGGCTTGCTGACAAGTTTGTAGGTTAATCATGAATGGTACCTGGGAAAAACAAATAATGATAAAAGGGGGAAGAAAAAGTGAAAATAAGGCAAAATACTTAAAATTGGTATGGGGGCCAAAAAATTAACCAAAGAAGGCAACATGAAACTTTTAAGTGCATCCAGAAGCATAGTTTAGTGATTTCTATTAAAAATGTCTGAAAATCATATTTTTTTATTTAACCCAAAAAGCCTTATTATGAGGCCTTTTACCAAACTTCTGCGAACTTATAATGAAAGTCGCCCAATTTGGCTCCATGTAGACTTGCATGATACTTCAGTTACATACAATTTTGTTTTGGTGTGTACATCTTTGCTACAGGCAAATTGTGAAAGATGATGTAGTTGGAGTAGTTTGGTTTAAATATGTTTGACTTAAAACTCTGAATTCACA